CAACAAGGGACTGTCATTGCACTTGAAACTTTTAAAGCAATGGGCTCTTCATAAATTGGCAAAGATTAGTAAATATAGTACTTCATCTTATCCTAAATTTCAAAATTTTGTAGCTTATTATTTTATTTTAAAAATAGGGTTGTAAAGAATAAGTATAAGATATTCATTTATTATCAAAATTTTACTGATATTATGAACATTCAAATTGTTTACTATTAACAAAATAAAATTGCTAATAAAGACCATTGAATTTACTGTCAAATAATCTATAACATGAAATAAATATTCGATTTATGATATAAATTTTGGATTAGATGAGTATATTAAATATTTTAAAGTTTCATTCACGAAATAAGCTTTATTTATATTATGAATAGATACAATATATCGAATTCATACATATACTATAATACAGTATTAATATATACTTAGCTAAGTCTATACTAATAAATAACTTTCCTAAATACAAGTTACTCTCAACTAATTTAGTTGATTATAACTAAAACAATGAACTTATAATCTTATATGTTCAATTCAAATTTGAAGTTTTTTACTATATCAGGAGTTTATTATGCTAAATGCAAATAAATCGTCGTTAATAAAAAATAATACAAGTAACATTCAAGTTTAACTAAAAAGAACAATAATAGTAGACCACTTAGCTAAAAAGTAGCATATAACTTATTCTAAAGTCAAATTTCTTCAATTTCATAACTTGCAGCTTTGTATAGGACCCTTATATATAACGTATATGATGTCATACTTGAAGTTACACTCCTCAATTAAATATAGACTATTAAAGAAGTACTTTACTATAGGGATCGGACTAAGATAGTTTAATTTTTAGTATGAATCTGAAAAAAATAATAAAAAAAAGATAGATTACTAGACCGAAATAAGATATAAGAATCGAAATCACTTGCATAATTTATGATATTCGTGAAAGAAATAGTATAGTATAAAAAATAAAATCATGGAAGTTACTGAAATAAACAATTTTACCTCTATTTTTATTATAATACTAAATAATCTTGGTGAGTCAGTATGTCTAGCTGAATAGATCAAAAAAAGAAGTGTATTTTTAGAATAATTAACATCGAAATTGTTAGAGAATCTGAATTATTCTGACCTGAATACGTGTGGTTTACTGAGTAAAGTTTTTAACTTGTATCTTAAGATAAAATTTTATTTAAGTTAATGATTTTAATGGTTATATTCTATTGAATTTTAAAATCAAATTGTGCTTTTTTTTGAAAATACCAATAGTTTATTATAAGGCCAAAACGATGTATCAGGAGTTAGTCATAATTGATCGCTACTGTATAACTATATCAAATTTATACCCTTTAGCTGCGATCTACCCTTAAAGATAATTTATAATTTGAATTATTTCTAATTATATCTACAAGACCTTGATATAAGTCTGCATATAGAATATTTTGATTCATATGTAGTAATCTTAGTCTATTTTATTCTGTTACAGCTCATGCATTAACAATAAATTCTTAAAATAGTTTTCCACTATAAAGAATTGTAGAGAATTTATTGTATCATAGAAAAAGTCAAAAGGTATAATATTCTAATTGAGTAAGACATAGAGTATTTTCTTGGCTATTAGAATATTGTCTTTATATATTAGTTGAAGTATAATACAAATTTGGGTACCATCCAAGTTCACTATAAGAAAAAAACAAAACATAATAGAGAGGTAAATAAGCTAGATAACCTTTATAAATTTATTGTAGTGAGCCTCCACAAAGTTGAAGAATAATATCACATATTATTTTAGGTATTAAAAAATTACCTAGTAAAATAATAGCTATCTTATTTACAGTTAGAAGATTATAACAGTATTTATTAGTTTGTTTATTAAAATAAAGATAAACTTTGAGATCTGTTATTTGTTGGTTTCTTTGATTTTGTAGAAGTATCTCATTTGCCTGTTTGTATATAGGGTAAAATGCATGATATTCTCACAAGAGCTCTTGTATTTTCTACATTATATCTGATAACAAATATTCATTTTGTTCTATTCTTAATTGATATACTATTTCTGGATTATAAATATAGAGTTGAGTATAAGTTGCTTCAATATCTGTATTAGGAAGTAAAAAACCTATATGATGATATAATTTTCTACTTATACAGAAGCTGTATGGTCTATGACTATTAAAAATAGATTAGTCAATTTTTGCACTAAGAGAAGTAAATGCATATTGAGAAGGTGTGAACTAGTTCTAGAATGGAACTCGACTTATAGTTCTGGTTATACCTATATTCTGGTTTATAAACAATCAATACTAATTCAACAATCAATCCTAAGTTGGTAGACTGAAAGATAGCATAGAAGATTTGGTCTGAGTTTTAGAGATCTTGTAGATTTTCCTAGAATTTAGCCTGATATTTTAAGGTAGATGTTTGGTTATTAACTCTTGGTTCTTATACTTTAGACTAATTTTAGGGCATGTGATCTGAATATCATTTTAATTGGTTATTGATATAACAATGAAGATTTTGGAGTTATCAATAAAACTATATACAGGATGATTGCTTATTATTTAAATTGATCAGAGTTTGATTATATCAGGAGTGGGTTTCTAACAATAACAATTTTATACAACAATAGTAGACTTATACTACTAAACTTCTACTCATATTACAAAGTTGGTCTCTTAAATACTGAACTTATTTGAGTTATTATCTAAACTCTGAAAGTTATTTTTATTTGAAAGCAACTTGCATTGCTTTTATAGATAATTTTACTTATGAAAACTATAAAAACTATAGTAATGATAAAAACTATACTAACAATAAAAATGATAATAACTATAAAAACTATAATAATAATAAAAATAATAATGCTAATAAAAACTATTAAAACTATAAAGATAATAAAATCTATATCGATTATAAAAACTATAATTTCTATAGAAACTATAGAAATTATAATACTGATAGCAGAAATTGTGCATATTAGAGATAGTACTATACTGAAAAGTAGTATAGCTGAGATGATCAAAATTATCTTTTACAATATGCTGCATTATACTGTTGAATATTGTATTAAAATTCTTTAGAAAGATTATCTTAACATTCAAAAAATTGATATAGTAGGTATAGTATATCTTGTAGAAATGGTAAAATAACTTGACTATGTAAACAACACATACCAAATTTTGAATAATTGCAAGAAGATGAAGTAAGATATTCATTGAGCCAATGTAGTATATTACAATGAATATATTCTATATTCATTTGGCCAAGATTATATCACTTATATTGAGTATATATTGTGTTATCTAATCTTGTATATTTTTTATTATTTTTATCCTATTCTAATATTGCTACAGAATTTTCTTTAGCTCTTTTTCATTGTTGAGTAATAGACCTACAATTCGAGATTTGATTTATAAGTTATATGACTAATTTTGTTTTAAATTTTAAACAAACTATATAAGGTTTTTTTGATACATAAACTATAGAGATTTTTTCATTTTAAGAGATATAGATAGTTTTATTAACATTAAACCAAATATATCAAAAATTGAATATATCAGATATAATTTACTATTTTTTATTATAAAGGAAGGATTCTAGCTCTTTTATAAATTTTTATAAGAATTAAAAAAGCTTTTTTGATTTTAATTTTTAACTTTGCTTAGAATTTCTTTGATTCAATTTTTATATATCACAATATATTTTTTTTTCTTATAAATTTTCTTTAATTTATGTTAGTTATTATTGTATTGTTTATCAACTAAGCCTTTGCTGATCATATAGAACATGTTAATTGTTACTAAATTTCATGAGTGTCTTGTTATCATACACTAAAAGATCAATATTACTTAAAATTTAGATTCTAATCATATTAGAGAATTAATATTATTAGTTATAATTAATACTGTAGCTATGATTAGTAATTGCTAGTTATTATTTTTAATAGTATATATAGAAAATATTCTATTAATTTTTTTTAGTTCTTATATAGTCAATAAATAATACCAAGAAATACAAACAATAGTTTTTTTTAATTTTATTAGAATAGCAGATAATGTTTTGTATTATCTATTTTAGTACAAAATTGATTTTTTGCTATAATTAAATATGATAGTTTGGGATTCAGTAGATTCTCAATGATTTTTATTATATTCAATAATTGTATCATAACAAAATATTCTATATATTTTATTAGCATATATATAATATAAAACCAAAAATAGATATATTTTAGAATAGTTAACTATAATTATACTAGTAAGATAAAAAATAAAACACAAATATTAATTTAAGAATAATCTTTGACTAATCGAACTAATCAAAGAATTAATTCAAAAAGTGAAGTGTTATAATAAATTTTTTATTTATACTTGTTTTAAATTCAAAATAAACTTAAATAAATTTCGAATTCGAATCTAGTGTAATACTGTTGAATCTCCTAAAATTAATTTTCATAAAACTAATAACTTGTCAAACTTGATAAAATATTAGTTTATCAAGTCTATTTTTATTATATAAATTTAATATTTTATAATGTTTTTAACTTCTTAATATTGATATGAAATTTGATTATCATATATATTAGTTTAGAAGGTTCAATAATATATTTTTAGTTAAGAGTTATATAGAATATATGTGTGAAGATAAATTTAAAATATAATTAATTCTATTTATTTTATTTTTATAAAAGTTAATTAAAAAGCTAATTTAACTAATTTAGCTAATAGTTGTTAGAAAATAGAAATTTATTTTATTTAAAAAACTTTTTTAATAATAAATTTATTTGAAACAAGATTTATAAGGTAGTAAATATAAATTCTTATATCGAAAATAAAGTAATTATTTCAGTACTTATTTTTTGAATATTAAAAATCAAGATATATCATATAATATAGACAAAAAATATTTAAATAAAAGAACATATTTTAACTAATTATATTTTTAATATTTAATTTGTATTTTTTGAAAATATTATAAAACTGAATTTTGTATACTGGTTATATTTATTTTTTATCAGAATTAACAATTTCTTGGTCTAAATTTTGAGGAGTTTCAATATTTTGTGTTAGCTGTTTTTTACCTTTTCTTTGATTGCAAGTAGAAGTTTTTTGATTTTTTTGCAGTTTGGTATTTTTGGTTAAATTATTATTTGTTTCAAGTTTACAATTAATAGTAAAGTTAGTATTTTCTATTTCTAGTAGATATTCATAAGATTCTTTAGTTCTTTTGCATTTTGCAGAGGGTCTACTTTCAGTATTGTTTGAGTTTGGTAATTGAACTGTAATTCATCTTTCAAATTTTAGTTATATTTTAGTAGATATTCAAGAGTTTAGATCTCACTGAATTAGTTAAAGCTAATAGAGTTTGAGACGAACCTGTATCAGAGATTCTTTTTTTAATATTAATATAATTGATATCTTTTACATTAACATAGAATATTCTATCTATGACTTCTATTTGTTCAACTACAAATATAATAGATTCCTATAAGTTAATAGTCAATTTAAGATATTCAAATCATAAATTAGTATACAAAAAAGCTATATTAATTATATAATTGTGATCTAGACCAAAAATATGATTTGTTATATTTATTTTTATTACTGAATCTTCAGTATTCTCAATAGTAGATATTTTTCTCTGTAGAGATCTTACAAAAGATACCTTTAAGAGGTATTTATTTGATTCTGAATCTTTAATAATAAATGAGTTGAGGTTACAACTAATATCTAATTTGAAATTATTATTAAATTATTTCTAATTATTATTAAAATTTTTTAAATTAAATAAAAATTAATTTTTTGAGGTCTGGTGATCTTAGTGTAGTGATTAGGTAACCAGACTGCCATGTAAGAGGTCTGGAGTTCAAATTCTACTGTTGATAAATTTGAATAATTACCCAGATTTTTGTACCTAACTTATGATAAACCTGTTCATATCTGGAGTTGTAACTCTGTAAATCATATTACACTAATATCATCTGAATATTAGAAGTGTGATGAGGCATTTGGCAAGATGTAACATTATATAAATAAATCTTAATAGGATCTATGAGCAAGAAACCTACATAGTAGAAATCTCAAGTTAGTAAAGTAGTATGACCTTCGATACTTATACTAGCTAACATTTAATCCAGAAAGAAAACTATTGTCAAAAGATGCAGATTGAGTCAGGTATGCAAAAATCTGTTCTACAGAGAGGATCAGTGATACTAACCTGACTTGGCACCAAACTGAATTAGGAGGATCTGCTTTGTGAAATATCTGAGATTTTAGAATACAGAAAACTAGTAGAGAGCTATAGTAGAAACTAGGGTTATACAAATATCTGCAAGAGTCTAAGCTAGATGAATTCATAAAATAGGTACAGACTACTCTAGTAGGTATGCTTCAAGGTTAACTAACTTTGCAATACCTACAATATATTAGGTACAATATATCCTAAGAAGATCTAAGTCATTCTGAATAAATAGATCTGTAATAAGCTAGCTAGCTTAAGTAGTTAGGTGTTGCAGTAATATTAGGTTAAATCTGTATGGGTTAATAAACAGAGTGTTTAAATAGATAATTCACAGGCAGATTACAGATATGACAGCATAGTATAGAACTAATCGAGTAGTCTAATTGTCTGTGCAGCAAACTACTTAAATTAGATAATAACTAAAATTGTATATATAGCTTGTTGTACACTCTTCATGTAATTACAAACAGTAGAGACTATCAATATATATTCTGTATGCAATTCTAATAAAATTCCTTTGGCAAT